GTTCTCAACCAGGGGCAATTTTGCCAACCAGGGATATTTGGCAATGTCCGGAGACTGTTTGGGTTGTCACAACTAGGGGGTGCTACTGACATCTAGTGGGTAGAGACCAGGGTTGCTACTTATTTGATCCCCCTGCAACTCAGTTTCCTTATCTCTGCAGAGACCAGGGAGAAAGGGTGGGGCAGAAGGTGAGATGGAGTTGGGATTAGATTTCTCTAAGTTTCTTTTCATTCTAAAACAATACTCCTCTTTCTCTCACTGGATATCCATTATTCAATCATATCACTCTCAGTAATAACTGTTTCTCTCTCTGAAACGCACACACACACACGCGTGCACGCGCAGATATACCTGGATTTCAGTAGGCATACCATCAGTGAAAACAAAATGTAGTAAGAGATAGAAATGTGAAAAAGAGGGAAAAAATTATTAGACTTTATCACAAACAATGGAATTAAATTTTCAAAAACTATTGCTTAACCTCAAAATATTTTGCTTCTCAAGCACATGTTTAAAGAACAGCTAGTTGAGTAAAAACATAGTGGTGAGAACTTGGAAGAAAGTATCAATCTGATCTTTTACCCAACAAATGATTGTTGAGTGCTAAATATAAGCCTCACACAACACAAATGTTAAGAGATAAGCACAGCCCCAGTAAAGAGAGGCAGGTTATATATACACTTAGTGTGGTGCCAAAAGGGCCACAGGACGCCAGGAATGGGAGAGATTGGGGGGTGGCAGGGGGCAGCAGGGCTTATCTGAGAAGACTTTCCTAAGGAAGCACTCTTTTCTTTTCTTATTTTTTTTTTCAGTCTTAAAGAATGAGAGAACTTTCACCAAAAGCAAAGAGTGATTTGGGAGCATCCACATGAATATTGAAACATGGAGCCTTGCATGCTGTTTTCCTCCTCTCTAAGCCTGTTTCCTCATTTGTAAAATGGGAACAATAATACCTTTTCTGTCTAAAAAGGCATTATCGTAAGAATCATGTTAGGCTTTTTGTAAGAAATCACTTTGATGATGATAATAGCTCTAATTTCAAAAGTGCTTTTTATTATTTTCTCTTATCATTATATCCATGAAATCCATACACAATAACCTGACATGATAGATATTGTGATCTCCATTTTACACATGAGAAAACTGAGGCTTAGACTAAATCTTTCTGAAAGTCTAAAATAAAAAACTGGGGCATGAAATCTGTGGTCCATACACTATGCCTCTTAATTCAAAACTATAAAGTCTGACATATGTGCGTGTGTGTGTGTGTGTGTGTGTGTATCAATCACTTTCATGTCTCAAATTTAAAGTTGAGAATTTTTGACCTAAGAAATTAGGGATTAACATTTTTTTCTGGACAATTATCAAATCACCCTGAGTAATACTAATATAAATAGTATCCTTATAAATTAAATCATTACTTTAACCTAGAATGCTACTAAACCTTTATCTGCCCTATAGTGAGACACCCGGAATTGCATAAACTGCATGGCCAGAGGACACAAGTCTGTCCCATTACTTCATTCTTTCAAAGGTTCCAGACTTGTCATACCAAGGTGATGGTTGCCAGGCTACTCCTCCCTGAGGATCCCCCTATTACAGTTTTGGGGCACCTTCCCATTGCATGCCAGTGGAATGTTCCCAGCAGCAGTTACAGCCACATTAATTAGACACTTTGCGTAGGCCTATATGCAAAGTGCAGACTGGGAGAAGAGGAAACCACACCTTAATTTACAGTCTCTTTGAAGAGGATTTCTTACTTGACATTTGCATTTCTTGAGTGACCATTAACCAGTAAATGGAAGATCATTGTGCAGAAATAGACAGAAAACATTCAAATTCAATTTTTCCAAATTGATTTATGTGAGTATTATACTTTTTCCTTTAACCAAGGAAATACATTTATTTTCTCACTGTCAATAGGAATGGGCTGTGGATTCCAACTTGGTCCCTTATGGATGCATTATTCAATGCAAAATAATATAAAAAGATGTGATTATCCTTTTCCTTGATTGTTTTATTTAATATACATCTCAGAAAATATAGAAATAAAGACCCCAGTCAAATGACTTCAATGTCTGATTTATAATAAAAGTCATAACCTAGGAACTGTATTGATTGAAAATTATGAATGTTAAGTAAAAATTTAACATATTTTAGCATAGCCTAAGAGAACAGTCACATGTTTTATGTGCTTGATTTTGCATAAAGAGACAGAAAGCCCATTTCTATACATGTGCCATCCCTAAAACAGCTTCTAAGCCCTGGGACAGTACCAGACTACTGGAATTTCTCTATTGGAAGCTATTATTTTCATTACGTTCCTGCTAACCCCAGGAGCCACTGGCTCCTTACTCATTGTTACAGAGTGACCCTGCCATTTACTATCTCTAAGTCCTTGTGTATTTGCCTTCACTGAGCCTTAGTTTCCTAGTTTGTCAAAACTAAGCTAAGCATATCTACCTCACACGGTTATTTGATGGTGTGTATAAAGCACCTAACACATAACATAGCTGCTACACTGGCATTTATCACTGCGTGTTCCCTTCCCACCTCCTGAATTTGAGTCCCAGTGCTGAACCAGACACCCCAATTACCCAAGCTGCTCAAGTAGCAAGATGATGCAGAAGGCAGCTAGGGCATCTGGGTCAAAATCCGGGCAGAAGAGACCTGTTATCATGGTTTTTGCCAAGATGTGTCATCTCACATTGTGTCAAGACTCAGGCAGCTCAGGGTCAACAGAGACCATGAAAGACAAGCCAATCATCTCACCGGGATCCTTGCTTCTCATATTTCCAAGAAAGAATATTTATTCTGCTTACTTCTTCTTGTGCAATGAAGTAAGGCTAAATTATCTTGGCGATGTCATTCAGTAACATGCTCAAATCCCATTTGGGCATGAATAAAAATGTTTGATGTTAGATAGAGAGCTCCTAAACATAACTGCAGAACTTGAGATAAAAATTTCTTCTCCTCTGGAACAATCATGAGATTAAAAAGGATAAGTTTGCTCTTAAGTTATAGATTATTTAGAAAAATGTTACCTAGCTTGGGGCATCTCGACTCTTTTATTTAATGTTCAGTAGGCTAAATGTGGTAGTAAACCCAGGTATCAATTCTCTGACTTTAGCACTCCTTTTCTGTGTGTAACTGGGTTATAGTTTACCAATCTATAAAACAAGAACATCAATATCAAAGACTCATAAACTTAAGAGTACTGCATATGTTAAGTGTGGAGGGTGTAATTTTTCCCCAGTCATAAATACATATAATTCCACAAAAAGCAATAATAAAATATATGCTGAAATTTAAAATAAATATCTCTTTCTTTTGAAGGACAGAGTTTGGGGAAAGCATTTCTAGGTAATCTTTTGTCTGGGGGAAAAAAAACACAATTTCAGAAATAACAGGTGGCCTTTCCTTTTTTTCAGGTGCTTTAGAATAAGACTATAGGACCTGCATACCTGAAGAGAGTACAGAGCTATGATGTAGAACTTCAAACAGGAACTTTCCTAGTGGCAGAGAAATATCCAAACAAACTGGGAAAACAGAAACTGACCTAACTCATTTGGAAATGGGCTTGGTGCCTGACGAAATAGGTGAACTATAATTAAGTAATGCAATAAGGAGGTAAGCACTTTCATGACAACAAAAACACACACAACACACACACACTAGTGGGTAGTAACCAGGTTATTCATAGCCCTTGCTGTCTCAAATTTGAATAGTCAATGAGATTCCCAGAACAGACACTTGCATTGTTCCCATGCAACCTTACAGGTGGTGGTGGGTAATGTGCTAAACTATTTTGACCTCTAGGTTAATTTCTAACTCTAGGAAGAACTGCCATCTTTCTAATCTTATTCTTCTCACAAAGACATCAAAACACAAACAGCAATGCCACCTCATTTACGGAGAACCTTCTAGCAAGCCATTCTTAGCTCAGTTTCGGTAGAGAAACCACAGATTCAATTTTCACTTACGTTCCAGGGCTTGGATTTGTTAAGTTTCAACTATGCATAATATGTGTTTCATTAGCTCTCCCAACCCCTGAGATAAAGCATGTCGAAATATTAATTTAACTGTCACATCCTGCACAGGTAGAGTTAGTGTGCTGGGGGAAATTTGCTGCATGGCAACTCCGGGAAGAAGGTGAGACTGGTGGTAACTTTTAATTTCCTTATTAAAATATTCATATGCAACTTCAAACCCTTCTTGAAGTTTAAGAAACTAGGAAGAAGTGGGGTTTTTCTTTTTATTTTTTTAACCAGAAAGTCTTATAAAATGATTTCTCTTTTCTCCCTGCCCACAAGAACGAAATCATCTCAAATAGGAAGACTGGCATTAAACAACCTCGGTGATCACAGGCAGATGAAATAGAAATTAGCAGCAAGTGCAAAGCGCGTGCCCAGGAGGCTGCGCCGGCTACCGGGGGAAACAGGAGTGACAGGAGTCCGGGCCAAGGGCGACAGGTCCCCTCCAACAGCCTTTTAATTCTGTCCCCTCTGTCCCTGGCCCGGCTCGCACCAGCTCCTGGAGGTGGGGGCGCTTCGCCTGGCCAGCTTTTGGAAAACCGCGTGCAAGACAAACATCTCTTATGGCGGCTGTAGTCTCTCCACTCTCCACCCTCCAAACAGAAAGAAAAATAAAACACGAAACGTCAAATAGAGTGCGTTCCAGTCCTTTGAATTTCTAGTGTTGGCAAATTTTCAAAAAGAAAAAGCAAACGCTTCTTAACTTTTTATCTTGCCCGGTAAGGAGATGCATCAATTCATGCATAGCCTATATGCCAATAATCAATTTATCAGTGAGAGGCAATTCCACGCCGATGCCCCCAACACCCAACCTCCCCCCGCCCCGCAGCGGGGAAAGGCAGACTCACGGAATAAAAGACATTATTTAAACCTAGGAGACTCGAACCGCGCGGACAGCTCTGTGCTTGGCAAAGGACACATGCGCGGGACACGCGTTTGTCCCCTCTTGTGGGGGCGGGGACTCACCGAGGCAGAGCGGCAGCAGCGCGGGGCCCCGGCCGGCGCCGCGCGTCTCCATCCCCCCGGCGGCCGCGGGAGCGCGGGAGGCGGCGGGAGCGCGGGAGGCGGCGGGAGCGCACTCGACGGCCGGAAACGACGGGCCGTGCGCTGGCTGCGGCGGGAGCGCGGCGGAGAGCCTGGAGGAGCCGCGCGCCCCGCGTTCTCCTCGGGCGGCGGGTCTGTCAGGCAAGTGAGCCCGCCCGTCCCGCGCCGCGACCTTTATAGAGCGCGGGGAGAGGCCGCGCGGCCGAGGACTGACTAGCTAGCGGGGTGAGGTGCAAAGTCTCCAGAATTTCATCATCGGCCGGGGGAGTGGCCGGGGAGGACTGTCCGGATGTCATCCTCCGTCTCCAGAGCACCTGGGAGCAGTGGCTGAGGAATGAAAAACTGTCCTTCTGGTTGACCCGGGACAACTCCCCAAACTTTTCCATCTCCGGCTCACACTCATCGCCCAGGGGGAGGCGACCAGCGTGGACCGGGCGGGTCGGTTTGCTTTGTGGGGTCACCCGCCAGGTGGTGGGTGGCTTTAGTTGCTCCCGGTGACAGAAGTGACATCCATCAGCTCATCTCCTGTAACCCGAGCCACCAAAACCGCGGGTGTGTGACAGAGCGTGGAGTCTGTCAGTGGCTCCGGCGTCCCACCTGTGTTCGAACCCGCCACCGCCCAGAAATCCCTGTGACTTCTGCGCCTTCCTCCTCGGCCCTCCGCGTGCAGTGGAGGCATTTATCACCTCAGAGTCCAGTCGTTATTCTGTCCCCAAAAGCCTGCTGCTTTTGATAGAACGTCCCCAGACAGTGCCTTAACAGTGCCTGTCAGGCCCCGTACAGAGGCTTGCAGTGACGCGCCGTTGCATTCTGGACAAGGCCTGGCCCAAATACGAACCCAGTTAATTAGGCATTTTAACCTCAGCTCCCACTATTTCTCCTCACCCTGTCCGCGTTGGGAAAACCCACCTTTGCTTGTTCCCACTTTCCAGCCGTTACTGATGCAGTCACATTTGGGGTTTCTGGGTCCCTTTTACTGGAACTAGACAAATCCTACTTATTTTTATGGTTCTCTTCAAGGGCCTGGATTTCTGACGTCTACAGGGACCTCTTTTCATTCTGACCTCTTATAACTTTTACAGTTATCTTCTCCCTATGCTTATAGAATTTTACATCTGGTAATTCATATCTGGTGAAACTATTCTGTATTATTTAAGTTTTCTTGTTTGTAAGTCGTATGTTCAGCTCCATATGTACGTGTATGTAAATTTTCATCCTTTTGTTGCATTCCCCTGTAAGGCCTAAGAACAGTGAGTCAATTTAGCACTACTCATTAGAATAGAAGTAGTACATATTTGAATAAAAAATGGAATCTAATTAACTCTTTACCTTTCTATTTCTACTTTTTATTGTTTTTGTTATTACTATTATTATTGCTATTATTCCCTTTTCTTGGCTTCTTTCTTCTTTGCCTCAAGGCCCCTTAATGTCCAGAATGCTCATGCTAGAAACGGAATACTTCATGCTTCTTATAGTGGTTAAGATTTAGCTGTGTGCATGTGAATCCTTGGACAAATTATTTAATCTCTCTCACTTTCCTCACATGTAAAACAGAGATAATAATATCTAACTCACAGAAAGATAATGAAAGTGCTTAACACAGTATCTACTGTGTTTCCCCAAAAATAAGACAGAGTCTTATAATTTATTTTTCCTCAAGAAGACACCCCAGGGCTTATTTTCAAGGGATTTTTTTTTTTTTAGTATCTGCATTTATGCAAATAGAGTTAAGTTGTCTTCTTCTGGAACATTATCATGTCTCTCCAAACCCTGAATTCCATCCTGAATTTCTTGCGACTCTATTTCCTTTAGAACCACTGGCCCAAATCTCTCATGTTGAGCAATAGAGCTCTCATGGGGCAGATGCGAAGGGGCTGCTCTTCTTTACTGCTCCTCGATGAAAATGCATGGGTTGTACAGATATGCTGCGTAGCCACGCCCATCACTAGGTCTTATTTTTGGGGTAGGGCTTATATTGTGCAAATGCTTAGAAATCCTGCTAGGGCTTATTTTATGGGTAGGTCTTATTTTTGGGAAAACACAGTAGCACAGAGTTAGTGCTATTAAAAATACCTGTTATTATATGTAAACACTGGTGCTAAGGATGGTAGTACTTGGTAAGTGGTCAATATTTATGAGTTAGGTGAATCAATAGAATAGTAGGATAGAGATAGGCTGAGTTCCTAAATCTAGCTTCTTTTTTTTTTCTTTTTTTTTGAGACAAAGTTTCGCTTTGTTTTCCAGGCTAGAGTGAGTGCCATGGCATTAGCCTACCTCACAGCAACCTCAAACTCCTGGGCTCAAGCAATCCTCCTGCCTCAGCCTCCCGAGTAGCTGGGACTACAGGCATGCGCCACCATGCCTGGCTAATTTTTTCTATGTATATTAGTTGGCCAATTAATTTCTTTGTATTTATAGTAGAGGCGGGGTCTCACTCTTGCTCAGGCTGGTTTCAAACTCCTGATCTCAAGCAATCCTCCCACCTCGGCCTCCCAGAGTGCTAGGATTACAGGCGTGAGCCACCACACCTGGCCTAGCTTCTTAATCTATCAGGAAAGCAGGCAGTAAGCAACTTCTCACTTAAATGCTATTTTGTAAAAGGACAAATGGAACCAAGGAAGATGATATTAGCAATGAGTTATAGTTTTATGGAGCATTGGTAGAGATTACAAGTTTGGTAAATTAGAATTAGGAAAAGGGACTGCTAGTAATGGCTTTTGTTCTACAATTTGGATCTGGAAAAAAAACAGTTCAAATGTCTTGAGGAATGAAAGCAGAATTCAAATAAATAGGGTGTCAACTGGGAGCATCTCATTACTTTGCACCATGAGGCTGTCAGGTACTAGCAAGGAGTGACAGAACGAAGAATTATCAATCCTGACTAATGTCTTGTTTGATTAAATATAGTGTTGTGATTTATGCTAAAAAGAAAGATGGGGTGGCAATGAGATGGGGAGAATGGGGTCATGCTGACAACAATTTTGACCACAGTCAACTCTATGGCATTGATAGGTGGGGAGGACTTTTTTCACTTTGTAGCTGATGCCCACAGGAATGAGATATCATCATCATGAACAAACCCTTGTGCTTGTCTCAAAATTTTCCACAGCAATGTGCTCTTCTGTGGACTGATTTCATTTGAGGTTAAGAAATCTTTCCCCTATTGGTTCTATGTTTACTCAATTTTCTAGCCATTAGTTTTCGAGAATGACTCCATCATGACACATCAGGGAAGATTTGCCACTGCCTCCGCAAAATAGTATTCTTTTTTTTTTCTAATAATTGCGAACAATTTTCATTAATTGTTCATGTAAATATATATACATAGTATGAAGTACAATCATAATTCCTCTTAAAGGCACAAAACTTATTTGAAGATAGAACAGTTTAGGAAGAAAATAATAAAGTCACATAAAATTTGCCAACTAGGAATTGACTTTAAAATATCTACTGGATCAGCAATTTCCAACTTAAGAGGTATTGGAGTTTCTTTCCAAAGGGTTAATATATCTAAATGTTATTTATGGACTAAATATACATATATCTATAAAATACTGTTTTTTAAAATATGTTAAGTATTGTGATTAGTCAAATATATTCATTTCAAATTGATACTCAATTCATGGTGGCTTTGTGGCATATGTTTTTTAATTGGTATATAACAAACAGATTAGGACTATTGAGTGAGGGGATGTCCTTTTAGTAGAAAAGTTAGGAAATATTGGACTGGAAATATAAACGACAGGCCCTAAACTGGTATGAACACTAAATCCATTTTAGACTACAGAGAGATCAATCCCTGGGCCCTACCCAAAGAACCAGCATTTAGCATCAGACAAGGACTTTTAAAACCTTAACAATTCTTCCATCTCTTGCTTTTTCCCTCAAGTTAGTGTTCCTTCTGACTGCAAATGGCACTTATTTATTATAAAATTACTGCTTTTCAAACTGAAAACTGAGCATGGCTACTTTAGTGAATCAGTTTTTGCATAGCACAAATGTTTTAGTCCTTAGCAAGAACCACTGAAATAAAATGGTATTGAGTAGCTTTTTACAATTAAGGCACTGGAAAATAAGAGAAAGTGTCCAAGATCAGATCGTTAAATTTAATATTCACAATATGAGACCTTGAACATGAATTCTGTTCTATCAGATGCTAAGTTTTAAAAAAAATTGATTTTAGTCAAGTTTAGCCAGATGTTAACCATATGGAGACTTTTTAGCAAGTTCCATTTGAATGAAGAATTTATGCCTTTTATGATAATTTTGAAAATATGTGTTAAATTAAATAGCATCATATAAAATAAAAATTAAGCACAAATTTCCAAATATTATTTTGGGCTACACATTTCTTTATAATCTTTATGGGACAGAGACTGTTTTGTATTTCTCCCTGACCAAAAATCAACAGCTACAATGCTATTTAGGTGAATCTGCCATATATTTATTAATTAAGCAACTATTTACTGAATGTTGTTGTAATGGTATTGTTATTAGACATATGGAGATATATTAATAATATACAGGTGCAATCCTGAACCAAAAGAACCATTAATCCAGTTAGAGACAAAATAGAGAAAATGAAGAAACAAATATTGAATGTATTGATACTCTTCTTTATTTAAAGAACCTTTATTATAGATTTTTTGGTTTTTTTAGAGGAAGTCTTTTTCCTATGAACTAATCCATTCTTGAAATGGTTTAAGAACTCAAAAATGAAAATTCTCTTGTTTTCTTTTTTCAATATGTAATTAAAGAGGTAGAAGAAAATAAGAAGTGAGAAAGTTTTAAAGTTTTAAAGTCCACTGAACTTTAAAGTCCATCATCTTTTCTTATTGATTAGCTTGATAATTTGAGAAGTTTCTTTAAATTTAAAATGATTTCAAGACATCTAAAAACTCACATGCTATTTGAATGTTGAGTGAATGCTATGGATTAGCTGATGAAAAGGGTGGATTCATTAAAGAACTGTGTCTTCTATTTGTGGTTTCATTTAGATTCAGAACTATAGGTGGAAAGGAACATGAAAGTGGTTGATATTTGTACTTAAATCTAAGCAAAATATGCCTAATAATAAAAGTAGTAATGCATTACAAAATTTGTCCAAGGTCCTTTGGCTCATAAATGGCAGAGATGATATTCCAACTAGGCAGCCTGGCTAAAGCATCTACACTCTTCACCATCACACTATATTGCTTTAACGTGGGACATTTACTGTACCTAAAGTTCAGGGTTTGTTATACATACAATTCTCTCATATATTTTTATTAAAATCCATATTGATGGAGTTTTCTAATCTCAGATTACTTGTAAAGAGCATTCATATTGCTTTGCAGACAGTTATTTTCTTACTTTAAGAAGAACTTTTTATGTTGTTGTCTTCCTA